ATGCAGAGGGGAGCAGGGTCGCCTTTCTCTTTTGTACATACAAGTAAGAAGAGGGGATGGGCCTCAATTTATTCAAATTTGGAAGCTACACGGATGGTTCTCCCACTGTATTGTGGATGTGGACTCAGGGTTCTACAAAGCTATGCATATTCTGATCGACCCGTATAAGCACAGCAGGTAGATGAGGCCATCTCTGGTGGGTGGCAGCACAGAAAAGAGTGCAATGTGGGGGCACTGGGTGGCTCAGTCAGTTAAGCATCCGACTCTTGATTTCAGCTAAGGACATGATCCCAGGGTCGTGAGGTGATGCCCCTTTTCGGGCTCCATGCTGGGCGTGGAGCCTGCTTAAGATTCTCTCTCTCTCTCTCTCTCTCTCTCTGCTTCTCCCTAGCTTATGCATGTGCTCTCTCCCTCTCTCTCTTCCTCCACCCCCAAAAAAGTCCAATGCAAAAACAAAATATGAATAATGGCTGAAAATCAGCCTTGGTGAAAGTCAAACCTACATATTTATGAAGCTGAGTAAACCACAAACAGGATAAATCCAAAGAAATCCATGCTCAGACATATCATAATTAAATTATCGAAAATTAAAGACAAAAAAAAAACCACCTTGAAAGCAGCTAGAGCAAAAAGACACTGATAGAGGATCAATTATTTGAATGACTGTGAATTTCTCATCAGTAAAGGTGGAGGCCAGAACAGGTGGCACATTTTAAAGGTGCTGAAAGAAAAGAAGTGTCAACTTAGAGTTCTATGCCTTTGCATTAGGATAAAAATGAAATAAAGACATTCTCAGATGAAGGCAAACTAGCAGAATTCACAGCCAGCAGATCTGCTCTAAAAGAAATGCTACACGGGGCGCCTGGGTGGCTCAGTCGGTTAAGCTTCTGACTTCGGCTCAGGTCATGATCTCACAGTTTGTGGGTTCGAGCCCCGCGTCGGGCTCTGTGCTGACAGCTCAGAGCCTGGAGCCTGCTTTGGATTCTGTGTCTCCCTTTCTCTCTGTCACTCTGCTGCTCTCTCTGTCTCTCCCCCTCTCTCTCCAATATAAATATTCATTAAAAAATTTAAAAGAAATGCTACAGGAAGTTAACCAGATAAAAGGAAAATGACATTAAGAAGGAAACTTGAAGGGGTGCCTGGGTGGCTCAGTTGGTTAAGTGTCCTACTCTTGATTTTGGCTCAGGTCATGATCTCACAGTTCATCATAGTTCACGGGTTCAGGTTCCCTGCTGATGGTGTGGAACCTGACTGGGATTCTCTCTCTCCTCTCTGCCCCTCCCCCCACTCATGCATGCACATGCATGCTCTCTCTCTCTCTAAACATACATTAAAAAAAGAAGGAAACTTGAAATATTAGGAGTGAAGAAGAACAGAAATGGTAAATATCTGAATATTTATGACTATTCTTCCTCTCCAGAATTCTTTAAAATATATTTGACAGTTTTAAGTTAAAAATATAACATTGTCTGATGGGACTGTCAATGTATATAGATGTAATATGATAGGGAAAAAGGTAAAGAGGTCTATCTACATTGGTAGAATGTTTCTACATTCGAATTGAAGTGCTAAAAAAAATGGTTCTAAGTATTTATTTTGTAATTCTCTAAAATATTATACAAAAAAGATAAAGTCAAATTACAAAAGATACTAAAAATGGATCACTAAAACGGATTGCTAAAAGTCTTCAAATAACCCAAAGAAGGCAGTAAAAGGGAAACAGAAGAATGAAAGAGGGAAAAACAAAAGACAAGTAATAAAATGGTAGACCTAATTCCAAATATCAATAACTGCCTTGAATGTAAATGGTCTAAACACACCAATTAAAATAAAGATTGGCTGAGTGGATTAAAAACCCCCACCAGTACCCAACTTTATGCTATCTATCAGAAAACTCACTTCAAATATAATTCCACAGGTAGACTGAAAACTAAAGGATGGAAAAAGACATGTCATGCAAACATTAATCAGAAGAAAGCTAGAGGTGCTATATTAACATCAGACAAAGATTTTAAAGCAAAGAGGGATATTATGTCTTGATAAAGGGGTCAATTCACCAAAAAGATATAAAAATCCTAAATGTATAAATGCACTAACAACAGAGCTTTATATAAATCAGTAAATATATAAATATAAATCATGGAAAGACATAATGTGTTTTTAGATTATAAGACTCAACATGGTAAAGATGCCAATTTTCCCGACTTACAGATTTAATGCAGTATTAATAAGAATCCTAGGAGGAATTTTTTCTTCTTTTTTGTTGATATAGACTAGCTGATGCTACAATTTATATGGAAAAGCAAGGAACTAGACTAGCTACAACAGTTTAGGAAAAGAAGAATATGGCTGGAGGAATCATACTGCCTGAGTTTGACTTATTATAAAGTTACCGTAATCAAAATTGTGGTGTTGGTGAGGAAATGGGTGCATAAATCAATGGAGCAGAATATAGAATCGAAAAAGAGAGTCACAAAATATGATCATTTGGTTTTTGACAAAGGAGATTTAATGGAGAAAGGAACTACTCATCAAAACTAGAGCTGGGGACACTGTGGTGAAGAAATCAAAGACAATGCAAATAGGAAGCAGATCATAGACTGCTCCCAGACTCTCAAGCTTGTCTTAAAGAAACCCAGATCTGGCAACAACTGGCCTGCATTCTCCCATGGCAACAATTAGCTAGAGCTGAGTGCTGGCAACTCCTTTAACAGGACCTGCATTCCCTAGAGTGTCAGATTCCACAGCACCTGTTTTTCTTGACACCAAGACTCCATTAGATGTCATTTGTGAACCCACTTACATGACTGTTCTGTTGTTTCTCTTAGAGATCTCCTTCTCTGTATCTGTGCCTCTATTAAAAAGATGGAGAAATAAAAACAGGGAAGACTACGGGTATTAAGAGAGGATATTTTTCTTTATAGGATAATATATTCTCATGTTTTGAATATGTATATAGTACTTCCTTAGCTTCACTTAGTATAAGTGTATAGTATAAGCTTGCCCCCATCTGGTAGAAAAAATTAAACAAAAATGATATAGTCACAGCTGTAGAGCTGGCGAGGGAGACGGGGTGGTGTCTGGGCATCTGAGCCTGTAAGGTACCAGGAAGGCTCCCTTAGGGGAGCAAAAGTCAAGAAGTAGTTATATGATTATGCAATACCAGACCCCCTTAAGAACTTCTTGGTATATATCCCAGATAACAAACAGCACCCTTTTGCACACTCCAGTGTGACTTTCTTGTTTACAGTCTTGTTAACTGCCTAAGAGCAGAAATTGTATTATGCTTCTTTGTGTCTCTGTAGTTTACTAAATGTCCGACATGTTTTTATGTATTCAATAACTCAAAAATTATTTTAAAAGCAATATATTAACTTATTTTCCTTTTTAAGACCATTACATATAAAACTAATATCATGTTTGGCCAACTTCCCCTAATCTTTTTAGTCTTCTATGTCCTATGTGATCATGCAAACTTCTCAAACACCTTGCAGTATGCATATGAATCCATTTAGAATATGGTATTTATTTTAGTTCACATATGTGTTATAAACAATTATATCAATTTGTAATTTGCTTTTTGCAGATTTCATTAGAGATCTAGCCCAATTGATATATTTACAGATAGAACTCAGTCCTTAATTTTGTCTGCTTTTATAGTACCTCACTGTATGAATCACTAGATCAGGTTTCTTTTTCTTCCTTCCCTCTCTTGGTAGATAATCTTCAGCTATATCATGTTTTATTTATTCACTACACCACTGAATGACATTTAGGTTGTTTTTGATTTTTCACTATTGTAATTATTCACTAATAATAGTATCCATATCAAAATTCCATATGCTTATGCAGGACAAAGTTGCCATCACTGTATAATTAGGCTACAGGAATGCACACACACATAAAAGTCTGACAAAATAGTTTCATCAGCAAGAAATGCAACTGGAAAGAACCAAATGAACTGCAAAAAATACATGATTGTCTCTGGAAACAAACTATATATAGAGCAAGGTTAGGTTTTCCTAGCTATAGTTTCAAGTAATGGGGAAAGGGGATCAGTAGTTTAGATTCAGCAAAACTGGAATTGATGCGTGCAGGTGAAATACTAACTGTGATACATAATGATGCAACACAGGGTACTCATTCAAGATAAAGACCCATTATAACTAATGTGTCAAAATGAATAAGGAGAACTTCTGTTTCTGAGGAACCTGGCTATTCGATATTGGTAATGTATGTCAGAATTTAATTTTCCATTTACGGTCATCAAAGAGACCGCAAATAGAAAAGAGATCATCCTCTATCATTTATGTTAATTTTGGGAAAATTTAAAAATCAAACAAATTGATGCTTGGGTTTAATCCAAGGTTAGATTTAAAATGCTGTAACACAGCAACTTTTTGTTAAAAGAATGCAGATGAACTACTGGGACCTCATCAAGATAAAAAGCTTCTGCACAGCAAAGGAAACAATCAACAAAACTAAAAGGTGATTCCATTCCAATGGAATGGGAGAGGATATTTGCAAATGATATATTGGATAAAGGGTTAGTATCCAAAATCTATAAAGAACTAACCAAACTCAATACTCCAAAAACAAATAATCCAGTTTGAATCTTTTCTTGAGCTATTATCTAATAAAAGTGATATGCTTAACTATCATTATTTTCAGAAGTTAAGAAAAATTAGGCTTATTTTAATCAGCCCTTAATAGGATCATTGAAAGTGAAGTCACATAAAAATCAATTGTGAGAAAACAAGAGAGTAACACAACTCAGGGGCGCGTGGGTAGCTTAGTCAGTTAAGTGACCTACTCTTGATTTCAGCTCAGGTCATGATCTCATGGTTTGTGGGATAAAGCCCCATGTCTGGCTCGGCACTAACAGTATGGAGCCTGCTTGAGATTCTCTCCCTTTCTGCCCCTTCTCCACTCGTTCTCTCTCTTTCTTTCTCTCTCAAAATAAATTAATAAACTTAAGAAAATATTTATAGGCAACTTACCTCATGTAAATTCAATTCTTTTACTTTCTCTTTTAATATAACCTGTAAGACACAAAGTATGTCATACCCATTTAAATCTGTAATTTAAAAAATTTCTCATTATACTCACACATATTTTTCTTTTGTATGTGTAACTCATTTTCCCTCTTATTCAATATTAGAGAAAATCTCTTTTATAACATGAGACAGAACATTTTTTTAGCAACATTTTTTCTTTAAAAAAATTTTTTTAATGTTCATTTATTTTTGAAGGAGAGGAGGGAAAGCAGGGGAGGGGCAGAGAGAGAGGGAAATACAGAATCTGAAACAGGCTCTAGGCTCTGAGCTGTCAGCACAGAGCCCGACGCGGGGCTCAAACTCACAAACTGCGAGATCATGACTTGAGCTGAAGTTGGATGCTTAACCAACTGAGCCACCCAGTGCCTCTAGCAACATTTTTTCAACTTGAGCAATGATGCAATGCTCTCCCAAAAAGCAGTTTTAAAATCCCTTTGAGTATAGACTAAATTTTAGGAAAAGACATTAATACATTCTTGTCTGGACCTAGTGCTAACATAGGAGGATAATAAACGAGGTTGACTCTCATGACTGAGTAAAACACAATATTGGTTGTCACTGAGTGTGATTACTAATATATAAAAGATTTAAAAATAAGGTCAATCTTAATTTTAGAAGTTTTGCTTATTATTTTACATCACTATCCCCAGGAAATTTTAGCTTTACCCAGAGTTATGGAAATGAATTTAATATCCATCGAGTCCCGAACCTGACTCTGTGGTGACTGGATACCAGTTGAAAAAATGCCAAGTGATAAGAGTGCACATTATTATTTGAAAGAAAATTTCTAGGGCGCCTGGGTGGCTCAGTCAGTTAAGCGTCCGACTTCGGCTCAGGTCATGATCTCATGGTTCATGGGTTCGAACCCCGCATAGGGCTCTGTGCTGACAGCTAGCCTGGAACCTGCTTCAGATTCTGTGTCCCCCTCTGTCTCTGACCCTCCCCTGTTCACGTTGTCTCTCTCAGAAATAAATAAAACATTAAAAATAAATTAAAAGAAAAACAAAATTTCTGAGAATAAACAGCTTATTAGAACTACATTGCCATCGGGGCGCCTGGGTGGCTCAGTCGGTTAAGTGTCCGACTTCGGCTCAGTCACGGTTCATGGGTTCGAGCCCCACGTCGAGTTCTGTGCTGAGAGCTCAGAGCCTGGAGCCTGGTTCAAATTCTGTGTCTCTCTCTCTCTTTCTCTGACCCTCCCCTGCTCACGCTGTATCTCTCTCTCTCAGAAATAAAGAAAACATAAAAAAAAAAAAAAAAAAAAAAAAAAACTACATTGCCAACTTAAAGTGAAGAAACAGGCAAGTGAAATTTGTAGAAAATCTCCCAATTTTGAGTATCTTATATTCCTGAACCAAAAAATGGTTTTCAGGGCAAATTACATTTTCAGAAATCAAAAGCTACCATCTGGCTATGCAGGGATGTACCAAATTTCTAGTGCAATAGATATTAGAGACCGTTTTACTTTCTGTCTTGTTACTGTATTAATTCTATCAGTCAATTTCACTTGTTAAATAACCATCAAGGCCAATTTTACTTTCTACTTAGCTTGCATACAAATATCTTAGAGGCTGCCAAATTTATGATAATATTGAGACAACAGGATTTATTAATACAGAAAAACTAAAACATTCAACTCTGTGTATAAATCCCACATGAAGGTCGACTTATGGGGAAGAGTGTGGGGTTACCTATGAACATCAGTGTGTCTCAACAATGAGCTCAGATTTCAGAGAGACACAAACAAAAGACGTACAAAAAGATATGTAATCCTAAAATGGTGACATGGTCCTGTAGTGTCAGTGTCAGCAAGGTTAAAGATTTAAATGAACTAAAGCCTGCCCCACAATCCTGCAAAAAAACCAAACCAACAACAAAAAAACCCCTAAAAAAAACAAAAAGCAAACAAAACCCAAAACACAGAAAGCAAAAAACTAAGGGCAACAAAAATAATTTCATACTTTGGGCCAAAAGAAAATTAAGGAACACCTAGGCCCACTGTTTGGTGTAAAAGGTTAATGGATGACACATGGAAGAAAAAGCAAATTTTACTTGGCCATCAAGAAAAGCTCAGTTTATTACCTTAAAGAACAAATCAGCAAAAGGATGACGGTACAAAGGGGTAGGGATTAACAATAATGACCCAAGTATTTGGACTTCTGGTGGAGTGACATTAGTAGAAAGGGGGAGGAGATGAGATCACTATAATACAACTGGTCCCCTCTGAGGAACTGATATCTTCTACTGGAAGAGGTAAAATAAATTCATTTCATGGAATCTCTGAACGTCACAAGATTAACAGTAGCTTTAAGGATTATAAACCACAGCATCTCCCTTTAGCAAAATGTTGGCTAAACCTCCCTGTTATATTATTATATCATCTGAACTTTCTATAACTTCAAATAATAAGAAAGAAAATACTGAAAGAAGTTGATCTATTTTGTATTACTAACTGGCAAGTGAAATGCTAAAATGAACACAAGTAAATTCAGTCCCAGTTTAAAATATGAGTGGAAATCTAAGTTCTCATTTTTTGGGCAAAACAACAAAACAAAACAAAAAACACCCAAAAAGCAAAACAAACAAACAACACAATGATTAAAGCTAACCGGAAGTAAATTTCTCACCTGTTTGTAAGCATAAAATTCTTTGTGTGCTTGATGTCTTAGCCTAAAAGACAGAATATGAGCAATGTGATATTGAGGTTTCCAATGTAACAATTTGATAAAATCTTAAACAACCATTATCCTGAAAAATACCCACATGACCTGTTACCATGTTATGAGAAAAAACATAAAATGTTATCCAAATATTAACTTCAAGTGAAATCTCATTAAGACAAAATTGGTGACAGTCCTTGTTTCAGTAATATTTAACTTATCACATTTTTCTTAATTAAAAATATTAAGTATAACATCCATCTAATAATGTACAAAACCCTTAAGAATACAGCTAAATGTTAATATATATATGTATTTATACACTATTGTAACTATAACCCAGATCAAGATATAGAACATTTCCAGGACCCCTGAAATGACTCCTCCCAATCAATATCTACTCTGAAGAGGTAGGTACCCACTATCTTGATTTCTATCACTACAGATTAACTGTGCTTGTTCTGAACTTCACATAAATGGATCATTTGGTACACTTTTTGTGTTGGCTTTTTTCAGCTAACAATTACTTGTGAAATTCATCCACGTTGTTGCAGTCAAAATCTTTTTGACTGACATACAGTGCTGTACTGTATGAATATAAGACTACCCATTCTACTGTTGATGAATATTTCAGTTACTTCCAGTTTGGGGCTATTATAAAGCTGCTACACAAATTCTTCTACATGTCTTTTAGTGGACATATAGACTAAATTCTGTTGAGTATATACCTAGGAGTAGAATTGCTAATCAAAATGCTTGTACCAATTTCTACTCCTAGATGTAACCCATGAGAGCTCTAGCTGTTTTACATCTTTGTCACTACTTGGTAGGGTCAATTAAAAAGATTTTAACTGGGGCGCCTGGGTGGCTCAGTTGATTAAGCATAAGACTTTGGCTCAGGTCGTGATCTCACGGTTCATGGGTTCAAGCTGTGCACTGGGTTCTGTGCTGACAGCTCGTAGCCTGGAGCCTGTTTCAGATTCTGAGGCTCCCTCTCTTTCTGCCTTTCTATTTGTGCTCTTTCTCTCTCAAAAATAAACATTAAAAAAATATTTAGCTACTCTGATAGGTCTATTCAGTGGTATCTCATTTCAGTTTTAATTTACATTTCCCTAGTGATGTTTAGAATCCTTTTATATGCTTATTGTCTGTTTGGATATCTTCCTTTAGAAAAAGCCTATTTGGGTCTTTAAAAAGACTTTTTCTTGTTGATTTGTAGGAGTGCTTTATATATTTTAGATTCAAGTACTCTGTTGGGTATTGCAATTATCTCCTACTCTATGGCTTGCATTTTCATTCTCTTGATGGATATATCTTTTGATGAACAGAAGCTTTTAATTTAAATTAAGCCTAATTTATGAAGTCTTCTCAATAATGTCAGTTCTTTTTGTGTAAAGAAATCTCTGTCTACCCCCAGATCATGAAGATATTCTCTTATGTGTACTGTGAAAACAATTTATTTTACCTATCACATTTAGGTATTCATTTGAAATTACTTATGATCCATCTGAAATTAGTCTTTATATATGATGTGAGTAGGGATCAAGATTCTTTTTATCCACATGCAGGTTTTCATTTGAGTCATTTATTGAAAAGTCCCTATTTTCCTTATTGCATTGCAGTGTTAGACCCAACATGTGGGTCTGTTTCTAGGGTTTCTATTCTGTTCCACTGGTCTATTTGCCTATTCTTATATACTGGGTTGAATAATGTAAAAAATTCATGCCTGCTGGAACCTCAGAATGTAGCCCTATATGGAAACAGAGTCTTTGCAGATTATTTAGTTAAAATGAAGTCATATTGGGATTAGGGTAGACCCTAAATGCAATACGACTGGTATCCTTAGAAGAGGCCTGGAGAAAGGGCACTTGGTCTGAATATGCTTCTGCTCCCTCTCTGCCGTATACTGTGGATCAGCAAGTAGTATACAGAGTGCAATTTCAAATTTTTTTAAAATTTATTTCTGAGAGAGAGAGAGAGAGAGAGAGAGAGAGCGAGCATGAGCAGGGGAGGGTCTGAGAGAGAGGGAGACACAGAATCGGAAACAGGCTCCAGGCTCTAAGCTGGCTGTCAGCACAGAGCCTGACGTGGGGCTTGAACCCACGAACCATGAGATCATGACCTGAGCCGAAGTTGGACGCTTAACTGACTGAGCCACCCAGGCATCCCTTGTAGGTTAGGTGTATTAAATGAATTTTTGATTATAATATTCTCAACTTACATTGGGTTTACTGGGATGTAACTCCATCATAAGTTGAGGAAGATCTGTACATGTATATTGTTCTCCACAGTTACTTTCATCTCTGTCTTAAAAGGTATTCTCCAGTTTAAAACTAATACCAGTATAGGGGTGCCTGGTTGGCTCAGCTGGAAGAGTTATGCAACATTTTTAAAATTTTTTTACAAATAGTTTATTTTCAAATTGGTTTCCATATAACACCCAGTGCTCATCCCCACAAGTGCCCTCCTCCATGCCCATCTCCCCCCACCCCCCTACATCCATCAGTCCTCAGTTTGTTTCTCAGCATTCAAGAGTCTCTCATGGTTTGCCTCTCTCCCTTTCCCCCACCATTTCCCCCCTTCTTCTCCCCCATGGTCCTCCGTTAAGTTCCTCCTAATCCTCCTATATGTGCAAACATGTGATATTTGTCCTTCTCTGCCTGGCTTATTTCGCTCAGCATAACCCCCTCAAGGTCCATCCATGTTGCTACACATGGCCAGGTTTCATTGTTTCTCATTGCCATGTAGTATTCCATGGTATAGATAAACCACATCTTCTCGATCCATTCGTCCGTGGATGGACACTTAGGCTCTTTCCATGTTTTGGCTATTGTTGAGAGTGCTGCTATGAACATTGGGGTACATGTGCTCCTATGCATCAGCATTTCTGTATCCCTTGGGTAAATTCCCAGCAGTGCTATTGCTGGGTCATAGGAAAGTTCTATTTTTAGTTTCCTGAGGAACCTCCACACTGTTTTCCAGAGGGGCTGCACCAGTTTACATTCCCACCAGCAGTGTAGGAGGGTGCCCATTTCTCCACATCCTCGCCAGCATCTAGAGTTCTCTGATTTGCTCATTTTAGCCACCCTGACTGGCGTGAGGTGGTATCTCAGTGTGGTTTTGATTTGTATTTCCCTGATGAGGAGGGATGCTGAGCATCATTTCATGTGTCTGTTGGCCATCTGGATGTCCTCTTTGGAGAAGTGTCTGTTCATATCTTCTGCCCATTTCTTCACTGGGTTGTTTGTTTCTCGGGTGTGGAGTTTGGTGAGTTCCTTATAGATTCTGGATATTAACCCTTTATCTGATATGACATTTGCAACTATCTTTTCCCATTCCGTCGGTTGCCTATTAGTTTTGTGGGTTGTTTCCTTTGCTGTGCAGAAGCTTTTGATCTTGATGAGGTCCCAATCGTTTATTTTTGCTCTTGATTCCCTTGCTTTTGGGGATGTGTCAAGTAAGAAGTTGCTGCGGTGGAGGTCAAGGAGGTTGTTTCCTGCTTTCTCCTCTAGGGTGTTGATAGTTTCCTGTCTCACGTTCAGGTCCTTTATCCATTTTGAGTTGATTTTTGTGCATGGTGTGAGAAAATGATCTAGTTTCATTCTTCTGCATGTTGCTGTCCAGTTCTCCCAACACCATCTGTTAAAAAGGCTGTCTTTTTTCCATTGGATATTCTTTCCTGCTTTGTCAAAGATCAGTTGGCTGTATACTTTTGGGTCCACTTCTGAGTTCTCAATTCTGTTCCATTGGTCTATGTGTCTGTTTTTGTGCCAATACCATACTGTCTTGATGATGACAGCTTTGTAGTAGAGGCTAAAGTCTGGGATGGTGATACCTCCCGTTTTGGTTTTATTTTTCAGTATTACTTTGGCTATTCGGGGTCTTTTGTGGTTCCATACAAATTTTTGGATAGTTTGTTCTAGTTTTGAGAAGTATGCTGGTGCAATTTTGATTGGAATTGCATTGAATGTGTAGAGTGCTTTAGGTAGTAATGACATCTTAACTATATTTATTCTTCCTATCCATGAGCATGGAATGTTTTTCCATTTCTTTGTGTCTTCTTCAATTTCCTTCATAAGTTTTCTATAGTTTTCATCATACAGATCTCTTGTATCCTTGGTTAGGTTTATTCCGAGGTATTTTATGGTTTTTTGTGCAATTGTGAATGGGATCAGTTTCTTGATTTCTCTTTCTGTTGCTTCATTGTTGGTGTATAAAAATGCAACCAATTTCTGTACGTTGATTTTTTACCCTGCAACTTGGCTGAATTCTTGGATCAGTTCTAGTAGGCTTCTGGTGGAGTCTGTCGGGTTTTCTATGTAGAGTATCGTGTCATCTGCAAAGAGTGAAAGTTTGACTTCCTCTTTGCCAATTCTGATACCTTTGATTTCCTTTTGTTGTCTGATGGCTGATGCTAGGACTTTCAGCACTATGTTAAACAACAGGAGTTATGCAACTCTTGATCTCGGGGTCGTCAGTTCAAGCCCCACACCGGGTGTAGAGATTTTAAACTTAAAAAAAAAAAGAACTAATACCACCATAACTTTTAGGTGTGTCTCCTCTCACCTCCATGATTCATTCTTTCTCCCAAATCCTTCGCAACTAGCTCACTCTCCTTAATACTATTTATGTATACTGTATATATAAATATGCCCAAATTTCTTAAGACAAACACCAAAATACTGCCTTGATTCTACAAGCAAACTTCACCCCTACCCTACCCCAAACTAATGTTTTCTTAGCTAAGATTCTTTAAAGAGAAGGTCATATTTCTTGTATCCATTTTCACCTGGTGGTCAGGTCTTACCCCATTACAGTCCCCCACCTTCACCACCCCTGTATCCATGCTACTGAAACTTTTATAACTAAAATTACAGATGCAAGCTTAATTGTCAAACGTAATGGGAGCTTTTGAAATAACTGACTCAATCCACTGAAATGCTACTTGTGGGGTTCCTGTCTTACGATTTTTCTTCCTATCTACTGCTATCCCCCCTAGTCTCTTCTATGGGCTCCTCTTAAATATGTTTTCCTATGGTTCTGTCCTGGATCCATTTTATTTCACTACACACATTCTCTCTAGGGGACCCTCCTGGCCTCAGCTTCTACCTATTATTACATGACCCCCTTTAATTAGACAGATTTCTTAAAAGCTTTAGACTTATATATCCAACTGTGTACTAAATATTTTGACTGTTACACAGTAAAACCTAGTCATCCTATGTCTAAAATGGAATCTATCATCCTTCCATCCCAAACTTGCTTATTTTTTTTTTTTTTTTTTTTTTTTAGCTCTGTGAAGGAACTGCTATCTTCCCAGCTACCTAAACCATAAGTCCAGGAAAAATTCTAAGCACATCTTTTCTCGTCCATCATTAATATCTGGTTACCAAATTCTGTTCATTTTTACTACCCATATATTACAACAATTCATACACCCTATGTAGCTCTACTGTCATTATTTTGGTTTAAGACCTTAAATTTCTGTTAGATAACTCAAAATCTTCCCTGTAACTTTAGTTTTCAATTTTTTATTTTCAAGTATTTATTTTTGAAAGAGAGAGAGAGACAGAGACAGAGAGACAGAGAGAGAGAAAGGGGGAGAAGCAGAAAGAAAAGGAGCCACAGAATCCAAAGCCGGCTCCAGGCTGTCAGCACTAAACGTGATATGGGACTCAACCCACAAACTGTGAGATCATGACCTAACCGACTGAGCCACCCAGGCGCTACTAGTTTTCAATTTTATCAAAATTACATAATCACAAATTTCAAAGTTGTATATAGTTCTACAAGGTTAGTAACAACAACAAAAACCACAAATTTCTGCCCTCTCCAAGTTATTTTGATAATTGCTTCCATATCCTTAAATACCTTTCTTGCGTTGCTCCTTGATTTTTAGCTTTATGCATATCTAATGACTTCCAACTAAGGACACTATTCTTTCATTTACCCAACAAATACTTATTAAGTGCCAACACTGTGCCAGACACTGCTCTGTATTTGTGATACAGTAAACAGAACAAATATCTATTTGAGGAGAGAGAGAACTAACAGAATATTGTATGACTCATAAAATAGCATCACTGCTAGCAGGGTAAGATGTCCTCCTTTTGTGTTCTAGTAGTGATCTGTTCATAACCCTATTGTAGGCAGTAGATTCTATACTCCAGTGTTGTATAAGACTGTGGTCGGTGGTGGTTGTCTTGTTTAGACCTACCTCTCGTGTTCCTCCTAAGGTTCTGATGAGTCTGGTGTTGACTAGAGGGATCTTTCTGTATGAGAACAGCAGAGTCCTCTTGAAACGTGCTAGAGGAGCTTAAGTTATATTAAAAATGAGTTTTGATTATTTTATTTTTTAAGGTTTATTTGTGTGTGTGTGTGTGTGTGTGTGAGAGAGAGAGAGAGAGAGAGAAAGCACACACAAGTGGGGGAGGGGCAGAAAGAGAGGGAGACACAGAATCCAAAGCAGGCTCCAGGTTCTGAACTGTCAGCCTGATGCGTGGGCTAGGGGCTCAGGGCTCAAACTCATAGACTGACCTGAGCTGAAGTCAGACGCTCAACTGAGCCACCCAGATACCCCCGACCCCCACCGTGCTGCTTTGATCTTTTGAAAGTTAATCTCCAGATTAACTGCAAATGACTTGTTAAATCCAAATTTAACATATAAAAGGTTAAAAGCAACAAATTAGGTCATCAGAAAGGAAAAGCTCCTTATAATATGATTTAATTTTCAAAGTGGTACCACTGACTTGGTAAATGAAGTTTAGAATGTTTGAACATGACTGGCTTCTCTGATTAGACAAGATAATTTTATTGTAGTGTAGCAGATCCCCACTTATTTGCTTTGTAAGCTAAATAATAAAAAAGGGTATGGAAAGAATAAAATGAAGTACAATGGTAATATACAAAGATAATTGCTATCATTTTTTCCTTTCTCTTTACCTATCTGCTTGATTATTCAAAGGAATACAATGAAGTAAAATGATGTTTCACAGCCCAGAATCACAATTGGTATATTAGTGTGTTTCTTTCTTTTTTTAATGTTTTATTTATTTCTGAGAGAGACAGAGAGACAGAGTGAGCAAGGGGAGGGTCAGAGAGAGAGGGAGACAGAATCTGAAGCAGGCTCCAGGCTCTGAGCTGTCAGCACAGAGCCTGATGCAGGGCTCTAACCCATGAACCGTGAGATCATGACCTGAGCCAAAGTCAGACGCTTAACCGATTGAGCCACGCAGGCACCCCTAGTGTGTTTCTTAAAACAAGAAGGTTAAAGGCTTAATTCTTAGACATAGTAATAAAAACTATACTATGAGCTAGCTTGAATATTTTGGAATATTTTACATATATAAAACCCCTTCATTAATGAATCTTTAATATTTTGTTATATTGTTATGTTATTTTTATCATCTTTTAAAATATAATCTGGTTTCAAATATTAAATTCACAAATTTCTTAATTAAAACCATTTGTACGGAAATTACCAAAAAATTTAATAGGTCTGAGAAAAGGAACAACAACAACAACAAATCAGCAGTCCTCTGCCATCCTCCCCAAAGATAATCATATTTTAAGGTTATGAGGTTTACTTTTGCTATGGTTAATTCCTTTACTCAAAAAAAAAAATACTGAATATTTACATAATATTTATCAATTGTTAAAAAAATGTTAGAAAAAAGAAATTTCTGAAATGCATTTCCCCCAAATGCTATAATTATATTAGCTAAGTGTTTATTACTCTGAGAAAGTAGCCAGCATATCTATGAGCGATAAGAAGTGATTACATTTTGTGAGAACTTTAGAAAAGATTCACTTTCTGTGAGGAATGTAAACTTATTTATAAGAATATTGGAAATATACATTAAATTCATTCAAATTTGACCATCAGTGAGTGGTCACTGGTGGCAACAGTTAATTATTGCTTAAAGACATCTGATGATGGTATGGATCTTAACCATAATCACATTCTGTACAAACCCTAAAAATTGTTAGAGGTATATAGTTGTTTAATCAAATCCAACTTTCTACTCTTCTACTCATAAAGCTCTTTGAACAATACAGTATATGAATTTTTAGTCTTTAAGTTTCAGCTTTCAAAACTTAAAAAGAAGATGCTTGTTTAAACAATTATGAGTAAGTCAACTGTGAATTTTTACTGGTCAAGTGAGGTATTATCCTTTGTCACTTGTCCATATATGTGCTGTAGAGCTTTTGGAATATTTAGTGTTTTATGCACATAATCAATCACCTGAACACTTGACCCAAGGAGCTTAAAATCTTAAAGAGACCACAAGAACCTGTTTAAAGGCTTGGACCTTGTCTTGTACATTGTTTTCTGATCCCTAATGACCAGGTAACAATGACACAATACCCTCCTTGAAAAGATATCCTGAAATCTCTGTGAATATAGATTAAATCTTGGGAACAGATAATAAGTGTATCTGGACCAGGTACTAATATGTTAGAAAAATAAATGAGGACAATTTTCTTCTATAAGGTAAAACACATTCATCAACAAATAGGATTGAAGATTGTATAAAGGTGTTTTACTGATTAGTAAATAACTCACAGAAGGTTAAAATGTTAAACAACCTTAATTTTAGAAAATTTACAAAATTATTGCACTTACACAATTTTTTAAACTAAGGGCAAAAAGCTGATTGCTTAACATATTCTGAAGTAACACAGAATGAAAACTAATTACCTAATCAAGTAGCAACAGAAGAGTAAACTAAGGATGAAGACAAATATAGCAGTACCAAAAACCACAATATATATGTTCAGAGGCAGGTTCTGGAATCCAATATTAGGCATCCTGAAGTTGTAATGTGGGAAATCCGAGCTCATGGATGAACTGTGGGGGGAAGAAAAGAAAGGAAAAATATTAGGCTATAAAGACTAAGAACCAAGACAGCATTATTTTTGTATGTATACAGAGATACTAGTTTTCTTAAGACTTGACCTCATTCGGGGCGCCTGGGTGGCTTAGTCGGTTAAGCGTCCGACTTTCGCTTAGGTCGTGATCTAATGGTTCGTGGGTTCGAGCCCCGCGTTGGGCTCTGTGCTGACTGCCAGCTCGGAGCCCGGAGCCTGTTTCAGTCTGTGACTCCCTCTCTCTCTGACCCTCCCCTGCTCACGCTGTCTCTCTCTCTCTAGCTCCTAGAAATAAATAAAAATATTAAAAAAAATAAAATAAAATATAACCTCTTCAGTACGGAATTTAAAGACAATGCTCTCAGGGCGAATGGATGGCTCAGGAGGTTAAATGTCAGACTCCTGGTTTCAACTCAGGTAATGATCTCTCTCTCAGTTTGTGAGATCAAGCCCTGCATTGGGCTTTTTGCTGAGAGCAAGAAGCCTGCTTGGGATTCTCTCTCCTTCTCTCTGCCCCTTCNGAGCCTGTTTCAGTCTGTGACTCCCTCTCTCTCTGACCCTCCCCTGCTCACGCTGTCTCTCTCTCCTAGAAATAAATAAAAATATTTAAAAAAAAAAAAAAAAAAAGACTTGACCTCATTTGAAATAAATATGATAGACAAAGAGTTAATATTCTTGCCACTCATTCATTTATGCCACAAATATACTTTATTTTTAAAAATCATCAGTTTATTTGAAAGGTGATCACCAAAGGACAGCACTTTAAATTTCCAATATTGATAAATTTTAAATTGTGACAATTTAAAGTTATAAATAAGGTAATTTTCCCCTCCTTTAACACATCACAATATTGTTTTAATGACTATAATGAAATATTTTAGGCTGAAAACTTTGAGTATCCTCTTAAAAAGATTTCAAATTTCTTGTCTAGTTGTTTCTTTTTTTCCCCCTTTCTTTTAAATTTAAATTTTAGTTGGGGCGCCTGGGTGGCTTAGTCGGTTAAGCATCCGACTTTCGCTTAGGTCATGATCTCGCGGTTCGTGGGTTCGAGCCCCTCATCAGGCTCTGTGTTGACTGCCAGCTCAGAGCCTGGAGCCAATTTCAGAGTCTGTGTCTCCCTCTCTCTCTGACCCTCCCCTGCTCACGCTGTCTCTCTCTCCTAGAAATAAATTAAAAAAATAAATTTAAATTTTAGTTAACATACAGTGCAATATTGGTTTCAGGAATAGAATTCAGGGATTCATCACTTAAATACAACAGAGTGTTCTTTACAAGTGCTCTCCTTAGTAACCATCACCTAACTAGCCCATCTCCCACCCACCTCTCTCTGTCAACCCATAGTTTATTCTCTATCATTAAGAGTCTCTTTTGGTTTGTTTCCCTCTCTTCTCTTCCTCCTCTCCCCTTCCCATATGTACATCTGTTTTGTTTCTTAAATTCCACATATGAGTAAAATCATATGTTATTCTCTTTCTCTGATTTACTTCACTTAGCATAATACACATCGCTACAAATGGCAAGATTTCATTCTTTTTGACGTATGTATCTACTGTATTTCAATCTTTTTGATGGCTGAGTAATAATTCACTGAGTAATAATCCATACACACACACACACACACACACACACACACACACACACATCTTCTTTATCCTTTCATCTGTTGATGGACATTTGGGCTCTCTACATAGCTTGGTTATTGTTGATAATGTTGCTACAAACATTAGGGTGCATGTACCCCTTTGAATCTGTATCTTTGTATCCTTTGGGTAAATACCTAATAGTGCAATTGCTGGATAGTATGGTAGTTCTACTTGTAGCTTCTTGAGGAGCCTCCATACTGTTCTCCAGAATGGCTGCACCAGCTTACATTCCCACTAGCAGTGCAAGAGTTCCCCTTTTTCTGCATCCTTGCCAACACCTGTTGTTTTTTGTATTGTTAATTTTAGCTATTCTGACAGGTATGAGGTGGTATCTCATGATGGTTTTGATTTGTATTTCCCTGATGATGAGTTGATGTTGGGCATTTTTTCACGTGTCTGTCAGCTATCTGGATATCTTCTTTGGAAAAGTGTCTATTCATGTCTTCTGCCCATTTCTTCACTGGGTTGTCTTTCGGGTATTGAGTTTAGTAGGTTCTTCATAGATTTTCAATACTAACTGTTACCAGATATGCCACTTGAAAATCTCCTCTTCCATTCCATAGGATGTCTTTTAGTTTTATTGACTGCTTCCCTTACTGTGCAGAAGCTTTTTATCTTGATGAGGTCCCAATAGTTCATGTTTGCTTTTGTTTCTCTTGCCTTTGGTGACATATCTAGTAAGAAGCTGCTCTGGACGAGATCAAAGATGTTGCTGTGTGTGTTCTACTCTAGGATTTTGATGGTTTCCTGCCGCACATTTAGGTCTTAATCCATTCTGAATTTATTTTTGTGTACAGTGTAAAAAAGTGGTCCAGTTTCATTCTTCTATATGTTGCTATCCAGCTTTCCCAACACCATTTGTTGAAGATATTGTCTTTTTTCCATTGGATATTCTTTCCTACTTTTTCGAGGATTAGTTGACCATATAGTTGTAGGTATGCCACAAATATTTATTGAGTACTTACTACGTACCTGACACTATTCTAGAAGCTTGAGATCCTACCTAAAACACCTTTACAAGTTACATTCATTTATGAAAAGGTATTTCACTGAGATAATGCCAGGAATCAATAAACATATGAAAAAGTTCAACCTCAAAGTGTGCCCCACCCCACCAAAACAAAAACAGAACAAGTCTTAAGATTTTAAAAACTTTGTAACCTTTAAAGTAAGGACATTAATAATGGTAAAATACTGAAAATACCTTAGATGTCTCACAATAAGGTAATGATTAAATAATTTTGTTGAGTCATGTTACAGTATTATGAGGTCATAAAAATCTGTTTCAGTAAATTTTAATGTCAAGAGAAATATATAAAGATATGTGGGGAAAATTAAGCAGGATATAGATTGTATATAAAATATGATCCCCTGGGGCACCTGGGTGGCTCAGTTGGTTGAGCATCCAACTTTGGCTCAAGTCATGATCACATAGTTTGTGGGTTTGAGCCCCGTGTCAAGCTCTGTGCTGACAGGTCAGAGCCTGGAGCCTGCTTTGGATTCTGTGTTTCCCTCTCTCTTTGCCCCTCCCCTGCTGGCAATTCTGTCTCTCTCAAAAATAAACATTAAAAAAATGGTCCCAATTTTGGAAAAGATTTTTAAAAAGATGGATATATATATACACCTATATGTGTATGTACATACTGGTATGTATGTGTGAGTGTAAGGCAGAAAAAATCCTGAGAGCTAACATGTCAAAATGTTATTAACAGTGGCTTGTGGCTTACTAGTCATTTTGATTTTCTTCTTTTTTTTAACTCCCTTTATTTTTATTATTTTTATTATTTATTTTAAAAAATTTTTATTTATTTTTGAGAGAGAGAGGCAGAGCATGAGTCGGGGAAGGACAAAGAGAGAGGGAGACACAGAATCTGAAAGCAGGCTCTAGGCTCTGAGCTGTCAGCACAGAGCCCGATGTGGGGCTTGAACTTACGAACCACAAGATCATGACCTGAGCCTAAGTCAGATGCTTAACCAACTGAGCCACCCAGGTGCTCCTTAACTCCCTTCATTAAGTCAGGTCCTGTTATAAGCACTTTATCGGCTTTATTTTATCTCCACATAGCACCTCTATGTAGGTAGGTATCATAATATCTCCCATTTTATAGATAAGGAAACCAAAGATTAGAGAATTCTGGTTACATAGTCATGACTGACCAAGTATGTACAGGAGCCAAGGCTTCTACATCTCCAAAGCCAGTAGGTCCTCAGCCTATATGTTCTACAATCTTTTTCATGTGTTGTTTTTATAATCAGAAAACAGCAAATATTGTTTAAACCTTAAAAAGGGGGATATTTGTGTCCATTTGTTTGGTAATACTGATCTCACCACACAGTTTAAAATCCAAGAATGGAGGTGGCCCCTTCATTAGATGATGAGCTATAGTAATAAAGTGGCCCATCACACCTTCTCACTAGAACTTTTCTCGTCATTTGGATTCAATACACAATGAAGAGCAACTGCCAGGCCTGATTATCAAGACCACATACTGTTAACTGAATTATAACAATGACTACTGCCAAAATCAAAACAAAACTAAACAAAAACCTACCAAACAAAACACTTCTACTTTTATTTATATAAGGTAAATTAAAAATATGTTTACAGATTTTTAATGTCTTTCTTGGTTCCCAGAAGAGTATACTTATATTGTAGACACTACTGAGATATTGACTGGCTGTATCCAAAATCTAATGTCTTATTATTACCTTAATTTCCAGCTTCTAATAACTTATACCAGGAAGTCAAGAGCTCAATGAACAACTTCATCCCATGGAAATTCTTCTCTGAGGACTTCCAAACATAAATAATGGATCATATTTAGTTTTTGACTTTCATCTATTTTCTGCAAGTACTTTATTTACTCAGATATGTAATTTCCTTTTTCCTACACTCAGATCATGTTGGAAAGGAAGGAAGGAATTAAGGACACTTTATTAAATATATCTAGCACATACATTATAGAGCTGTTAAGAATTGTACAGATGCACAAACTTTACTCTTAATCTCCACATCGCTGACAGGGCCTCACTTGATGACCCTTGCTATAATCAAGACTTAGATGATGTCCTTCAATCCCTTAGAAATATCCCTCATCAGACAAATTGGGCTTGGTGAAAGAACTCTCACCTTAGGAAACAAAGAAATTAAACATCCATGCTAGAAGGGCTAATAGAGAGAAAACAGGCAAAAAGAAAGTGTGGGTAGAAAAAGGGACAGGTTTATAGTCAACAAATCTGAATGTTGCTCCCAGGATAACACTAGCTAGATGTCAGTATTTGGCCCATCTATATACCTTAATTATCTCATCTTTCACATGGAACCATGCCTATCCTA